GGTTGCGGGAAGTCAATTATCTACCACAGGCAAACCATATATACCAGCAGTTTTCTTCCAAAAGATATCACACAATCAGAATCTCCTGAATGGCCGCCTAAATGTTTGTAAATACTATCCTTACGGGACAGATATAAATGGATATGTACATAGCACTTTGGCACGGGTAAATGCATTTTTCTGTTTTCGCTGTTGTGATCGTGTAAGCAGGGATCCCTGGTTGTGGCCCAAGGTGTGTGTGTGTGTGTGTGTGTGTGTGTGTGTATGTGTGTGCATGTGCCGTGTGTCACGCTGTGGTTGTGACGGAGTGGAAGGTTGCATGAGGTCATACAAAACATTGCGAGAGACTTATGCTCGATGACCAACTTCGAACCTGGTCAGGGGCACGAGTGGATAGGGCAGGACAGAGGAAGGACAGCATGGAGTCCAAGCACTAGATCATCAGATAAATCAGATGGATCAGAGGGATCAGAGGGATCTCTGCAGATACCTATCATTTTTCTCCTCCCCACCGCATCTTTACTCTGTCAACATCTAGTTAATACCGCGTATGTTAGTTATAAGTTATCTGTTATTAGTTCCAGCTGTTTCATTCGTGGCTGATCGTCTCTCGACTTTTCTCCTGACGAAACTCTCCTCTCGTTAATTAGGGCAGGCTAGCCAAGGCCATTTTGTCATCTAAGGTTCTGATAGGCCCACTTCCCGCCACCGTCTTTCCAAATACCGTTAGCGTGTCAAATCTGCCAGGCGAACTGGCCTGAAACAGACTAGCGGCCGGGACCTTCCCACCAATGGTGGCCCGGCGACGGCCAAACGAAGTTCCGCGGATCTTGAAACAAGGCAACCTCAGCATTTCTCGGGGCTCCCATTGGCTGACTGAGTCACCGCCACCACAAGAGCAAACGGAGCAAACAGACTTTTGCAGGAAGGATTTTCTCCTTTTTTTTCTCCCTCTTCAACTTCGGGATCTTCAACAACCTCTCACATCTACTAAACATCTGCTTCGCCCCCACTTCCTCTCTCTTCTTCTTGTGATCATCTCCTTTTCTCTCTTTGGCTGCTGTGACTTTCGTTTCTTTCTTCTATTTTTCCTCTTCCCTTCTGACCTATCACCGATTTACTATACAATCTTTCTCTTCTTCCGTTTTGATAGGCCAGCTGGCTAGCTAGTTCCTCCCTGGTCCCGTTCTAAGGGCCTCTTGTCTGCACTATCACCTGCACTATCTGCATCCCCTTATTTTAACAGCACCAGTCAGTAACAGCTGCAGATCGGCAGAATGCCTTTTCTCCAGTTTTTCACAAACCTTCTATTCATATTCTCTTTCTTAACCCACCCCTCCCATCGCTTATTGTCCTTGCTTGTCCCAGAAAACCATAATCGGACTTCCTCCCGGGTAATGCGATAACTATCGCTCTCGATCTTCATAACTAATCAATAATTTGTCGTTAGAGATAGATATATCCCCTTCTTGTACGGGCTACATTTTATTTCAAAGCCACGTTCCGCGGTTTTCCCCTGGGCCAACAAGTCACAACTTTCACCCCCTGACCTAAATCGACGGGCTGTTTTATCCTCAAAAGGGTCCGATCCCCCATGTCTCCCAATACACCAAACACAGCCCGTTCAATCCGTCGACGACCGTCTCTGCTTTCCAGCTTTCGTCCCCGTACTGCTGGAGCCGATATTCCCGTTCCACCATTACCCTCACGTCCGCATACTGGTGTATGGATTCCTCACAAGGATGGGAGTTATCGTGAGTTGATGGCCCTTTTCTCCCACGAGACAGGAGCATATGACTTGGGCAGTGTGCAACAGCAGCAACAACAGCCACAACCGGAGCCACAGCAACAGCAGCAGCAACAACAGCCACAGCACCAATCCAAACAACAGATCCAACGACATCCTGAATCTCTTGAACAACCGGACCTTCTTGACCCAGAGGATGCTAACGCTTACCCACACATAAAAACAAGACATCGTCCTAGCAAGAGTTTCTCCAGCCTGCGTCACGGGGTCTACGAACTCAGGGCTGTCGCACGCCGCCTATCTCTGACGGTCCGCAACAAATCTTCAAGATATAACCTGTCAAGAACCATGGAAGGGAACGATGATGGCAATGTATCCGATGACTATAAATCTGCCGATTCAGGAGCTGCCATGGGCTGCTGGGATGCCAGTCGTGCAACCCATCGTCCGTCTCTCGGTAGCCTCAATGCGCTAGGCCGCTACTGTACACCACCATCATCAGTTCCCTGCGTGACAGATCCGATCCCGGGGAGCGGCTCGGAACCGCCAATCCTTCCCGATGACCTTTCACGTGGTGCCGCGGCACGAGCTGCTGCTGCTGCCCAGAATGAGATGATTAAGGTTTGTCGTATGGGTTCACGGGGGGATTCGAAGATATTCGACTCGGATACGGCCCTAATTGAGGAGGCAGATGTTGCTGGAGAGGACTCGGAGAGCGGCATTGATGTCGATTTGCAAGATCATGTCGACGTCTCAGAAGTTGATGACTTGGAGGTTGTGCGCAAAGGTAATGGTTCTTCACATGTTTCCCTCTCTGCAGAGTTGGCTACTCTGATGCTAATTACAATCTGTCATAGACCCAATGGATTATCTGCCTGCCGAACTTATGGCACATATCCTTTCCTTCCTTGACGCTGACTCGCTCAGCCAAGCGGAATTGGTCTCCCATTCATGGCACGACCAGGCTGTCTCTCACCATGTCTGGAGAGAAGTTTTCCGTCGTGAGTACCGGGGCCGGCCTCAGACTGGGAAAATGACGAATGGACAATCCAAATCCATGGGATTGGGACGCTCTCTACCCAACCAGGATTGGAAGAAGATGTTTGCTGTTCGTCGGATGTTGGAGGCTCGCTGGAAGGAGGGCAAGGCTGCTGCGATTTACCTGCATGGACATAAGGATAGTGTTTACTGTGTTCAATTCGACGAGTATGTCCCCCTACTCTTCTTCTCTTTCCTATACCTTATTCTAACCCGATCTAGAAACAAAATCATCACCGGCTCCCGCGACCGCACCATTCGCGTCTGGGACGCACACTACCCATGGCCCTGCCTCAAAATCATCGGAGCACCCCCCGACCCTAAATCCCCTCTTACCCTAGGTCCCCTCGTGATCGATCCACCCGAGGACTCCATCGCCCGAACTCCATTCATCAGCATCTGCCCGCCAGCCCGCTCATCCCCGGACCTCGTGATTCCCACCTCCGACACCTCCGACTACCACCGCGCCTCAATCCTCTGCCTCCAATTCGATGACGAAATACTCGTCACTGGCTCCTCAGACTACACCTGCATTGTTTGGGATATCAAAGACGACTATAAAGCCCTCCGCCGTCTGGTGGGACATCAAGCTGGCGTCCTAGACGTCTGCTTTGATGATAAATATATCATCTCCTGCTCGAAGGATACTACCATCTGTGTCTGGGATAGGAAGACAGGTGAGCTCGTCAAGAGACTGCTTGGACACAGGGGCCCCGTCAACGCCGTCCAGCTGCGCGGGGACCTAATCGTTTCTGCCAGCGGCGACGGCGTCGCCAAGCTCTGGAACATCACTTCAGGCCTCTGTATCCGTGAATTCCCCAGTCGGGACCGGGGCCTAGCCTGCGTCGAATTCTCCGAAGACGCACGCACGATCCTCGCAGGCGGCAATGACCAGGTAATCTACCAATTCGACGCGAACACGGGTGAGCTGGTGAATGAGCTGAAGGGGCATACTGGACTGGTGCGGTCGCTGCATATGGATTCTTCGAACGGGCGGATTGTGAGCGGCAGCTACGATATGAGCGTTAAGGTGTTTGATAGTAAGAGTGGGGAGATGCGGATCGATTTACCTGGGTGGACGACGAGTTGGATGCTGAGTGCGAAGTCGGACTATAGGAGGATTGTGGCGACCAGTCAGGATTCTAGGACTGTTATTATGGATTTCGGGTATGGGATTGATGGGATTGAGTTGCTTGAGGAGTAAGGGGTGGTTGGAGTTTTGGTCTTTCTTGCTTAAGTTTTTAGCGAGAGCCGTGGTGTCTTGGAAGGGAGTTCTGCTTCTGTTCCCTATGTGCCTCTTTTACTCCTCGTCTTCGTCCTCGTCCTCTTTAACCCAACTCTTTTCTTTCCTGGTTAATTTTACTTTCTTGGGCATATATATTTCCTCTTTTCCTTTTTATTTCTCTCGTCTTATATTTTTTCACTGATTTTCCCTTGCGGTCTACCCTCTGAACTTTGTTATTGATTTCGATTTTAACTTTTTTCTTTTTTATTTGATTTCTTTTTCCGGCTTTCTTTTGAACTTGGCTCTTCCTCTCCAACTTCCCCTACGCATATGGTGACCATTTGCCATCCTTGTCCAAGCGTTCTGTTCCATACAAAGTTTCTTCTGACCTGCCGTCTATACTTTTTTTTACTTCTTTTTTCGGAATTGGCCGTTTTGCTCGATTTTTCTTCTTTTTTCTTTGTACCATTTGAGCATTTACACCGTACTGCATATCATGTAGACCAGACCGTCTGCCTCTTCAGTGTGTTTCTTGTTGTTCTCGCTTTTTCTATCGTTCGCGCCTATTCTTTCTAGATTTGTACCGGATTGTCCAACAATTTTGTTCCTTTTTCTTCTCTTTCATCATACATATTTTTGACTTGTTTTCCTCTCACGCCACTAGACCGGTGAGTTTGAGTTGATTCGTTTCGGAGCTGTGTGGGACCTTTTGCTTTTTATGGGTTTTGTTTGCTCGCGGCACGGAATTTGTATGTCCTTTTTCTTCCTCATATGGCCGGGATATAGAGTTATACAACCTTTTTATCTTTATTTCTCTCTGCCGACCTTGTTCTGTGTTTTTTTTTTTTTTTTTTTTTTTTTTTTTTTTTTTTTTCAACTCGACTTCGAGCTTTGTAGACCGGATTTTTATTTTTATTTATTTTTAATTTATCCCCTCCCCCCCCCCCTCTCCTTTTCTTTTTCAGATGAACTCCCCGACCGCGCACAGTGATGGCGAAGACAGCTTCTAGTCCAATAGGAAGCGACAACGATGCACTGATAATTGAAAAGGCGGTGGACTTTTTATTATTATTATATATTTACAAGTTTTCCCGACTATTCATAAGATGTCCTTCATTCAATGCTCGGATCTCGCCAAGGAGAAGTTCGAAGCTGCGGTTTCGAAGCTGCGAATGAACCAGTTGGGGGGGACGCCACATTTTTCTCTCGGTGCTTAAGTTAGTCAGTCTTGGGTCAAACTAACGGACATACAAGCCCCACATCTGACGGAGACCGTGGCCATATGGAAAGGGGGTGCAGCATTCTCAGAATTACATGTCAAAATATGACTATTTCATTAGAATCCGCAGCCGAGCGCCTCCTTCTTTCACGGGGATGGATGTTGGCGCTCTCGAGTCTGAAGCAGTTTGGTGAGGCGGCGATAAACCCCATGGGCCAACAATGCAGTTTGGCGAGCGACGAATGCATCAAATAAAATCTCGAAGTCCGTGCGGTATTATTGACTTTGATGATAAGTCCACGAGCGAAAATCAACGGCCAGTAATCAAAGTAATTTGCCTCTAATTCCTCCAGAATGCCCCCAGCTTACCCTACCTTGGTAAGGTAAAATAGGTAGTTTTGAGGCTACCTGATATAGCGTGGGGTATTCTACAGTGCAATTGGTCTCCCAGAATCCCTTTGATTTGAGACGGATTGTCACATGGATTCACGTTATTATCAAACTTCAGCGATGCCCAATGTTGTAGTTATACTTCGCCCGAGAAGCAGGTTGTCTACTTCTATAAAGCTCGTGTCCAAACACCCCCCCAAAAAAGGAACTGCTAGCCATCTCTTCTGGATGTTCTGGTATCTACAGCTGAATTGTTAGATGCTCTTCTTCACCCTTCCTCCGGTCATGACACAGGTAAGGATCTTGGAGACTCCCCGCCCCCAGGAGGAGGAGCATCCCCATATTATATCCCAAGATGCAACCAGCAAGAATTTCGGCAGCAATGCGAATCAGGTCCGCTCCACCCGCTCCACGTCCTCCATGACTCGGTCAAGCACAGATGGTATTACTGCCGACGATGGAATCCGCAACATTCGCTCTCGGTTGGTTCAACACTCTGGCAGGCGCAGTGACACCACCATGGAGCTGGGAGACGATGACCCTGGCTTGCGTATGCCTGGCGACTTCAAACAGAAGCAGGTAAATCGTTATCATTACCCCTCATGGGGCTAGTCATTGCGCTCAATGTTTTGGGCTGCCACAGGTATTCACTGGGAGAAGGCTTCTGTGGCTCTCGTATCAATCAATCGGTGTCATCTATGGCGACATCGGGACGAGCCCACTTTATGTTTACTCGTCGACCTTCACCTCGGCCCCCTCACGCCGAGACATCATAGGAGTGCTGTCGCTTATCATCTGGAGCCTGTTTCTGATGGTAACAGTGAAATATGTGTTCATCATCCTGCATGCGGATAACGATGGCGAGGGAGGCACATTCAGCACGTATTCGCTGCTCAGCCGCTATGTAAAGGACCAATTCCCCTAAACACTGGAATCCAGCTAACTACGAGTCATTCTAGATGAACATCACCAATCGTGATCCCCGGGAGGCATCTCTTATCGAGATGAAAAGACATCTGTCGGGCGACCTCAAAGCAAGCACTAGAACAGCGCGCCAGCGTCTGGAGTCAAGCAAGTGTGCAAGGGCTATTCTCAAAGCAGTGGGAGTGTTGGCAGTGACCATGGTCATCTCCGACGGACTCCTCACCCCTGCTCAATCAGTTCTGGGAGCCGTCCAGGGAATCAAAGTGGTGGATCCAGATATCAACAAGAGCACTGTGATCGGGGTCACCAATGCGATTCTGATCATACTTTTCTGCGTTCAGCCGCTGGGAATTTCCAAACTTACGTATGCGTTCTCACCCATCGTCATCATCTGGCTTGGCTTCAATGCTGTTTTCGGGGTATACAACCTGGTCAAATACGACGCCGGCGTGTTCGAGGCGTTCAACCCCGGTTGTGGTTTTGAATTCCTGATCCACCACGGAGAACACGGGTGGAAGATGCTCGGTGGCATTTTGCTCTCCTTTACAGGAGTTGAGGCTCTCTTCGCTGACCTGGGAGCATTCAGTCGGAGGGCTGTCCAGCTAAGTTGGCTGCTCTACGCATTTCCCTGTCTACTGCTTGCATATATCGGGCAAGCATCATACATCAGCGTTCATCCAGATGCATATTCGAACCCCTTTTTCAACGCAGCGCCTCCGGGAACCGTTTATCCGGCGCTGGTTATAGCAATACTAGCAGCAATTGTCGCGTCGCAAGCCATCATAACTGCAACATATCAGGTGAGAACGGCGAGGGCCTGTATTGATTATAATGTAAACACGCTAAGAATATACCTACAGCTCCTTGTCCAAATAATGAAGCTCTCTTACTTCCCGCAGATCAAAGCAATTCACACGTCGTCAATTTTCCATGGCCAGTTATATGTTCCCGCCGCCAACTGGTTACTCATGATTGGAACAATACTAGTCGCCTCCATATATAACAACGTACATCATCTACTTATCCAAAAGCTCAACTGCTATGTGCTAACGTTGATTTAGACTACATCCCTCGGCAACGCGTACGGCGTCTGCGTCATGTTTGTCACCTTCTTTGACACCTGCGTGGTCTCGTTAGTTGCAATTTTCGTCTGGCGCGTCAGCCCGTTCATCGTCTTTCTGCCCTGGCTCATCATCTCCTGTCTCGACGGCGCATACCTGTCTTCCGTACTGACAAAGGTCCCTGACGGGGCCTGGTTCACACTGGCTCTCTCAGCGGTGCTCGCATTTCTTTTCCTTCTGTGGAGGTTCGGTAAGGAGCAGCAATGGTTGGCGGAAGCGCAAGATCGTTACCCCACGTCACACTTTGTCAAAATAACAACCTCCGGTCTTGGAAACAGTCAGGCTCAGACGCAGCAGCAGGAGCAGCCACCGTCGCTGATTCAAGTGCATCTTACAGACCGCTTCGGAAGCGCTCCCGTTAGCATCACCCGTGGGCTGGGCATCTTCTTCGACAAAGCCGGCGAAACTACCCCTATTGTCTTCAGCCAGTTCGTGCTCAAGCTCACCGCGATGCCCGAGGTAACTGTTTTCTTCCACTTACGGCCCCTGGAGAGACCCTCCGTGGCGTTGGATGAGCGGTATACGGTGTCGCGACTCGCCATCCCTCACTGCTACAGACTTGTCGTGCGATATGGATACAATGATGAGATCATTACGCCGGATCTAGCAAGCGTAATTGTGGAGCAGATCAAATGGTATTTGGTCCAGCAGGGGAGGGAAGGGAGGTTGGCAGCTCCGTCACAATTACCGGTAGTGACCCCAACGGAGTCTGATGAGAAAGCTCCCAAAAATACACCCTCCACTGCTTCAGCCTCCTTATCCAAACCCTCCTCCACCAACCTCGCCACGACAGTGCCAAAGCAACAGCAACTTGGCGTGGACGCTATTAATGAGGCACTTACCAAGGTCGAATCGGCACATTCACACAAAGTGCTGTACATCATCGGCAAGGAACAGATGAAGCTCCGGCCCAAGACGAATTATGTTCGATGGACGTTGTTGCAGATATTTTTGTGGATTAGGGAGAACACGCGGACGAAGATGGCGAATCTGAAGGTGCCGACTGATAAGGTTATCGAGGTGGGGTTTTTGAAAGATATTTAGAAATATTTGAGAGTTGGAGTGGCTATGCTAGGCGATAGGGGTATTTGGGGCATAACCAACCAGGAGAAACGAATGGGAGGAGCATGGTCGTAGCGTTTCGGGTCAATGGTCTGTTGCCATTCATCAGTTGTTGTGTGGAAGGGTCATTCCTGCTGTTATACAAGATCACTGTCATTTCATGTGTCTCAGTTCACATTTACATGTATCTACCTAGGTATCTAGCAGCCCTGAAGTCCTCACAAAAGATCAAATAGCTGTCTGTGGTCTTGGTTTGTAAACTTCTATCAAAAAGTTCAGAAATTTCTCACAAGCCATCTACATCTCCCACCCGCACAATTAACATCAAACTTTCCAGTAAAAGAGGTTCACACATCACCAGCAAACTCAATTGATAAGCTTAGGAATGGCCATGAGTTTTTGTAGAATCAGACGTTGTGTTCGGGGTTAGGGGGGGCCTTCGGACATCTAAGGCCTTCAATCACTCAACCAAAGATCAAAACAACATAGTAGCCACCCGGCTGCTATAGGCCGCCCGCACCCTATATACAGTTTGCAAAGCCTAAATAAGGGCCCCAAATGCCCTCTGGGCTTGAGCTCTCATCATACAGGCTATATAAGTATTATTTTACTTCAACTACATTTTGTAAATAGGATATTTAAGAGTTACGCAACTATAATTCTCACGTTTTTTAACTTAAAATCTCGAAGTAAATGTATAATAAGGTTAACAAATCACGGTTTGAGTTTTTAACTGGTGAGAAAGAAAATAAAAATTTTGATGGCAAGAAAAGTAATAAATAAATAAATAAATAAATATAACATATTGATAAAACAATTCTCATATGTTTCAGGAACACAGCAATTATTCAATATGTCCATTGATATGTTGACTACATCCAAATAATACCATTATTGTCCACTGTTTAGTTACTCTCTACAGCTGTAGTTACATCGTTTGGCAAAATCACCGAGGAATTGGAGGATGAGAAATCGCAGCCTAAATTTATGTTCAGCAAAATAAATAAAATTATTCTAGGGAAAGGAAAAACAAAAAAACAAAAATAACAACCCAACAATCGACCTCGTCTTTTTTTCTCTCTCTCTCTCAGTGCTCAACGCACATTTCTCTCCCAACTCCCACTCTCCCCCCACTCTCCCACGCTCCCACGCTCCCACGCCTCTCGACCCCTCCGCCCACCTCCTCCTCTCGATATTTATCCCCGCAGCCCTAGCAACCGATTTCTCCTAGCCGCACGCGTCTGTCCTCCCTCCTCCTTTAAAGCCAGCGTCTTGGTGCTACCCTTTTCCTCTCTCCCTCCCTCCCTCCCGCTCCCCTTCGCCTCCTTTCTAACCCTGTCATTCCCGCGCGGGGAAATATACTTACAGCATTCCATCTACTCGTTTAAATACCGTTCAACCCGGCGAAAAAGGAAAAAAAAAAAAAAAAGCCGAACTGGACACCTTGTTTGTCAGATACTATTTTGTTGTTCTCTTGATATTGTTTGTCCTTCACGATGGGTGAATCTAGGTACTGATCCAAACCTCCACGCCTGCTCCAAACAAACCCACAGTTGGGTATTCTGGAATGAGTTTTATGCTGATTATTTACCTCCTTTCCTCCGGATTGGGACAATATGCAGGCAGGAACTGTTGGCATGGTTGAATAACCTGCTGCAGCTGAACATTACCAAGGTTGAGCAATGCGGTACTGGGTATGCATATTCAAACATTCGATACTGTCTGAAATGACCTGGCTTTGTCAAGCACTCCACACCTTCTATCCTTTCCCGCTCTTCTGGATTCTGGCATGTCTCTCTCCCCGACTCCCGTGCCGTGCCGTCCCGTCCCGCCCCACCGCTAGCCTACGCGGAGGTTTATGAATATGGACCAATCTCGGATGCAGCGGTTGGGATGGGTTATGAGTGAGAGGCTGGGCTGGAGAGTGTTTACACAATGGAGCTATCAATCGCGGGATGTTACGACGCTCAGGAATACTGGTTTCGTGGATTTGGAATTACTATGAGAGAGATAGCTGACAAGATAACCTTTTTGATGGGGTTGTATGATCTAGGGCTGCATTATGCCAGGTCTTCGATTCTATATACAGTGAGCGTTTCTCAAGGATTGCAGAAAGCTACGGTATATCGTTGCTAACAAAATGGAAAAATATAGTGGACGTTCCCATGTCACGAGTCAAGTTCAACGTCAATACTGAATACGCCTATCTCCAGAACTTCAAGGTGTTGCAAAGTACGAACGTCCAATTGAGCATCCTTTCCAGCCTGATCATCAATTCTGAAAAACAAAAATATATGTGGACACTGTCCAGTTGGAAAAGATATATCTATCTATCTATATATATAAATATATATATATTTTCCTCACTCTAACATACCTGAAAATCAGACGTCTTCATACGACACCAAATAGACCGCCCCGTCCCCGTTGAAAACCTCATCAAGTGCCGAATGCAAGATAACCTTGAATTCCTCCAATGGACTAAGAAGCACTGGGACCAATACTACCCAGGCGGCGAATATGACGCACTCGCCAGACGAAAGGGCGCTGGTCACCCCGCCCCGGCCTCCTCCCGGGGCCCCGGTACAACATCCGCCACAGGCGCGCGAAAAGGCGGGACGACACCCGTCAACTCCACGGGAGGACGAGGACGACTTGGCGGATCTGGCGTTGGTGGGGGGGCCAACTCAGCCGCATTGACGGCGGAGATCAATGCGCAGAAGGAAGCGATCGCAGGCCTGGAGAAGGAGCGCGATTTCTACTTTGCGAAGTTGAGGGATATAGAGTTGTTTTTGCAACAGGCTGTTGAGGCGGATCCGGAACTGGATAAGGATGATGATTCACTCGTAAAGCATATTCAAGCTATCCTCTATTCGACTGAGGTATGTCCCGTTTGTAAATATCTGCTCTTTTTATGGTTTGGGGGATCATTTTTGGCTAACGATTATATTTTTCATGTTACAACAGGATGGCTTCGAAATCCCGCCAGAGGTTGAAGGTGTTGCAGCAGGTGAAGAGCTTGAGACTTTTTAAATAAATGGTAGAAGAAAGGTGATTTGCTAGAATTTTGCCTTTTGGTATTTTTCTTTTCTTTTATTTCTTGTTTCCCAATCAGTCAGCGAACAGTTTTGGTGTTAGCTGTTTTGTGCTCTCTTCCTTTTTCTTCAGTGACTGCCTCTCCCTCTCTTGCCCACCTTCACCTCTTAACTAACTATTGAGTTTTGATTCTTTTATCATTTCCAACAATCACCGTATTTTCGTTGGTTTTCTATTTTGTATTTTCCAACCCCTAAGGCTTCTATAAACCCAACGCGTTTAGCACTCTCATCATTTAACCCTGTCCCGTCATGCGCTGTCATGTCTATCGGGCTTCCCCGCCGCAATCATTTCCTCAGAATATCATACACACAAAGTGTGCTAAAACGAGGGAAAATATAGTTTCATGTTATTTGTTGTCTTACGTTTCTCTAATTGTAGACTATGTACCCCTACCTCCTTCATATAATATACATCCCCTCACCACCAGCTTTTCTCAGCTCCTCTCCAATATCCCCCATACCAAATACTTCACTACATTGACCAGAGCCTTTCAGTTTCCGCTCCACAAAAATCCAGACTATTCCAACTATTCCACCCCACCCTCACCGTGCTCGTATTCTCATTCCATCTGTCCTTAATGCATTTCCGGCTCCCGAACTTGGAAACTCTCACAATGCAGGGATCGTCGTCAAGTGAAGCCCACTCCAGCGAACGATCGTTAAACCAAGTTTCGGGACGAACTCTAGAGTTAAACAGCTCCCTTCGAGCAAACGGAATGTTGGTTAATGCGATATATGCGTTGTGTTCCTGTTTCTGATGTGCAGTTCGGTAACTACCTGGTACAGCACTCAAGGGGTGTTGAACTCTTCATCTCACTGCTTTCGTTGGCTTTTCTCTGCCCCCTTTCCCTTGTCTTTATTTACTTAGCCTCCTGGTTTATACTTTCCACCCCGATATGTACGGAAGCTCCCACCAAGCTCTCTATATATAATTTAGGTTTTGCGCAGTCGAGATGAAGTTGAAGGTCTACATGTTAAGTTTCAGAGGAATTTCAGGGGCAACCTTATCTCTATTCCACGAAGCCTCCCACGGCTCTATGCCTGACGCAACTCTAAATTGGCATCATCCTGGGGTGTAGACTCTTCATCCTCACAACTGCCCCAGTGGACTGAACAGAGCTGGCTGTGCCCCATGGGACGGGTTCAAGTGTCAGGTGGATGACGGCATTTTTTGACTGTCAGTTGTGTCGAGTCAAAATGGCAGGGTGGAATGATGGCATTTTCCAACGACTTTGTTCAGCACTTAACTGAAGACCTCTCCACTTCATCCCTTTTCTTTCCCTTTCTCTGTTCTGCTCTACCAGTATTATCTCACAATCATTCATCTCGTCTCTCTCATCACCATAATTCCATCGAATCAAAGTGTGGATCCCATCCTAGCTTAAGGAATAAGAAAGCAACAGAGAAACCTACCTACCTACGTGCCCAGCTACAGGGAAGGCGTTTTGACTTGATCCCCGACACTGGGAACTTCCTTTCCGCCTCTCTTCCCTTCGTCTCGTCGCTGTTAAAAAATAAAAATAAAAATCTATACACACACAGGTATATCAGAACCACACCCTTCTCCTTTTCATTTGCGATCTCACTGCCGCTTTCCCACCGTGAAGAGAGCTGTTTTCTGCCCTGCTGTTGTTCCGTACGCTCAAGTTGCACAAGTCACAAGTTGCAGGTTGGATCCCTTGCTTGATAGCGCCTCCCGTTTCCACTTCACTAATGTACATGTATATATGAATCAGTTCATGGACCGAGAGAGCAACAACCTCCGTCGCAGGATTGCGCAACGGAAGCTGTCAGACACCTTTACATCGGCTGGTTTAGAAGCCCCGAGTAAACCCGCGACACCGTGGAAGCAAAAAGGAGAAACGCGGCGGCCAACCATTTCCACTTCTTCTTTCAAGGGCGCTATACAGGCAGCGGCTGACCGTGGATCCCGGGAATACGCAAATTCATTCGGTCTCCATGTTCGCTTCGCAAACGATGACACTGGAGCAGCTGATGACGCCATCCACCTACAAGCCCTGATGCGCGCCATGGGTTTGGACCGGGCTCACGAATATGTTATTCCGCAGGTTGGGACGCAGAGCTGGGTTCCGGTGATGATGTTCAGGGACCTCCTTAGCGAAGCCAGGAGGTGTCCCGGTCGAAGCATCGTCGTTTTTCACTTTGCTGGCCACGCTTACCTGGATAACTGTAAACGACTGGCTTTTCGAGGTAAGGACGACCAGGAGAAGGGCAACAATAACGGCGGGAACAACTATCACAACTTCTTCCACGACGCGGACAGTGACATCGATTCCGATGATGATGATGATGATGATGATGAGAATTCTAACTCCTCGTTCCCGCTCGATCCCCTCCTGAATCAAGTCTATGCGGGCACAACGTTAAACGACGATGATTGTCAAGTCGACGTCGTTTTCATTCTTGATCTCTGCCATGATTCTAACGATTGTGGGATGATCACGGACAAGGCCAAGTATATGCTGCTCACATCAAAGGGCAGCGAAGTCACCAAGAGCGATAGAATCGGTGAAGTCCTTGCGGCAAGCGTATGCAAGTTGGCCCCAAGAGGCCTGACAGGAGACGGCGCGACGACAGATAACCCCCATAGCGACATTGATGGCATACGACAGCGAAATGGACAGAGCTTTACCTCTAAGCTGGCAGATTATGCGGAACGAAGTAGGAAGAGAGCTGGCTTTATCGAGCTGGCCGATCTATTCAGTGTTATGCGCGCTCAATATAAATCCTCCGTCACAGACAGGAAGCCCGTGCACGGTCTCATTCGAGGACCGCATTCTGTGCAATTTAACTTCCCTAATAGCCAGCGTTTGCCGTGGGAGTGTCCTGCTTCTTCTTCTTCACTCTCCTCCTCTTTTTCATACGCGGAATCATTACCATCCGTTTATGATTCTTCGTCCGATTCTTCTTCTGACGACGACGACGACGACGAAGAGGAGGAGGATGCCAATGTTGCGGATGACAATCTGTCCCGATCACCATATCCCCGATGGGTTTCCGGCGACTATCGCGCCATCTTCAGAGTCGATCTTAGACCCAACCACGTGTCCAGGGCTAATACCGACATGAAAGAGTTGGTGATGTGGATACGGGGACAAAATTGCGGGTCGATGAAGATCATCTCGACACAAGACTTTGAACCGGAACCCCCCGGTGGCTATAATCATACGAATATTTACTGTCATCGTTGTGGATTCAGCGGGTTGGTTATTGAAGCGCCTTATGCTGTCTATACGCAGCTCAGGGTACTTCCGGGTGTGAAGTTGCTGCTAGAAAATCGGTCCAGAGATGTGCTTGTCGGGTCTGTCGAGTAGGCTTGCGAGGTTTGGGCGAACTGGTTGATTGGGAGGTAGTTAATGGTGACTTTTCGTGACGGATTCAGGTGATGTATCCCTTTCATGGCTTTCTCTCTCTCTCTCTCTCTCTCTCTTTTTTCTTTTTTTCTTCTTCTCTTGAAGTTAAATTGCGTGAATTTAATTGGAAGATTTGAACCATCATGTTAACTGTTGAAGTTGTTGTGTATCAATAATGGGTGGGTTGGGAGGTTGCTTTACAGGGAAACTTATTTTTATGGCTTCACTTATCGCTAATATAACTAATCTACTCTAAGGTGTACGTTAATATACTACAGCACATCTAACGCTCTACATGTACCTACCTCATCATCCAATTAATTCACCTTAAACTCACCAAATCCAGTTCTTCACCATTCTTCGGGCTCGGTTACAGTCCTTCAAGGGCATTCTGGACCCGTTCACCTGGTATATCTTGAAGTGTTTCATGCGTTGGAATCCGCCTAATGACCTAGTCGAATCTTCTAACGGTCAAGCTCTATCGAGTTATCCGTAGCAGCTGCTAATGTTCTCCAGATGCCACAGGATAGTGGCAATGGCGCGGTGGAGCGCAAGGAACCAGGAGAAGGCGGATTTATTAACGGTCGGGCTGTCAGAAGGCAGAGCGTGAGAGGGGACCAGGAAGCTCTAGAAGAGTGGGTGCTGTGGTAGTTATCGAAGTGTGGATTTTGGTGCGTCTTCTACAGACGTCCGCGTGAATATACGTCAAGACCCTTTACATCACGTGACCATAATCTACCCATGGTTGTTGTCGTAGTTAGCAACCTTTGCAAATTCGATCACCTCACTAAAAGGCTTGGCTCACCTCGCCACGTGACCTGACCCCATCCTAGCCAGACCCAACCTCTCACAATACATTGTAAATCATTTACCAACTACAAAATTCTTACATCAGCAAAACTATTCTAACGTAATCGGACACCTGTTCGTACGGGACACCTGTTCATACACCTCCCCACCATCCAACATCTTTGCATTTGAATATCACCACAACTAGATAGCAAAACTGACTAATTACGTTAAGAATTATTTCTCATATGCTTGGAGCATGTATGAATAGTATGTTCTACAATGCCACATTCACTGCACTATGACATCACTCATTTATGTGACTGCTCATCAGACTGCTCTATCACTCCTCTTTTCACTTCATTGCACCTTTGTACATGGTCCATCCCTTCTTGAACAGTCAATCCCTCTTCCTGGCTTATGTATGTATGATGTCTCTCACATTTTCTCTTTTGTTTAGCATTTGCAGTCTTTAATGCCTTATTTTCTGCTGTTAGAATGGCAGCACTATGCATGATCATCTGACATCTCTTGATCAGCTGATCTAGAGCTCAATTGATTGGACTGAGTGGACTTTGTGTACAGTGCTTAAGATATTTCTTAACTTTCTCACTCTGAAGCTTCAGTTGTCATATATTATGAGGTGTGACTGTCATTCAGGAGGATTGAGAGCTATATGAGGTTCTGAGAGAGGTTGGCATATGCATCTGTGTATTAAGCTGGGAAAGAACCTGCTTTGAATCATATAGGACTAATCGTGCCTCCGCGCACCCACACCTGATGTGGGTGCGCCACAGCGTAACAATAAAAACAGCGTAATGATAAAAATATGGATAATTAGAACTTCAAAAATTAATATCTCATCATCATACTGCTAATCTATGATAATTAATTTATCTATATCATCTGTAGTAGCTGTATTATTTGTGAGACATTTATATATATCATTAACCTTTTGTTGAGTTGAATTTGTGGCATTTTTCTTCAAAGCTCTCTCAACATATTTGACTCTCTTATAATATTCTTTTTCTGCTTCCTCTTCTTTATATTGTGTGATCTTTCTATTTGCATTCCTGACAGTGAGTATATCTTTTACTTAAATCTGCTAATATGTATTTTTAGTGCTGTAGTGTTTAATTACAAGATAGTAACTTTTAATTTCACTCTCTCTTATAGCATTAAGTTTCATCTGAACAAGACTGTCTTGGAAAATATTGTTCAATCAATTGCTCAGATGAAGTGATTTGAAATTAAATATATTCTTCATATCTTATATTGTCTTCTTTGCCACTTGAATATGACATTATAGCTTCTCAATTGTCTTAGATAAGAATAGCTGTGATGAAGCAGTATCTGAACAGCTTAATTACAGTGAAAAGAAGTCTTCTTCATATATTTATAACTCAGAGTAGTCAGAGACCTTTGAATCTAGCTTAAGTAATATAAATTGTGAGTTGAATGAGATAATATCATAATTCACAAAGTTAGTCTGAATAGTAGAAGGTTGAAAAGTCTTTTTGTGAATATCAACTAAATTCTGTAGAAATTAATATTTTTCATACTGCTCATATCTGTATTATGCAGCTTGATTAACTGTCTTTGAATAATAATGCTTAAACTGCTGAAAAAGTACACTGTCTAAAGATTGCAGTATATGAGTAGAATGTGAAGAAAATTCATATAGAATAATCTTGTGAAGATCACAGTATTATAGAAATTCTTCAGTGAAATGAGATTTATAATTATTAAAAAGCAGCAATTGATGATTGTCTTACTGATATTTTTTAAAGATTTCATTAAAGTGCTAAATCCATACAAAGTCAATCTCATTATTGATATAATCAGTATTTGATGTTGTGATTGTATATCTATCTGATAAATTGCTTTATATATATCAATCTTCAAATTGAGTTTTAAATTTCATGATGATGAAGAGATTTAATACCTCATTATCTGCTAAAACACATTCAATTATAGTAATCAATTCTCAAGAATATGATGAAGTTATAACTGAATTAAAGTCATTAAAAGCAGTAATAACTCATTCTCTACATCTTTGACCCTCTTGAAAGCCAATCTCACTGAAGTTGTAAATATCACAGGTTTGAAATATGTACTTTTGAAGTAAGATTTTCAGATAGTCAAACTATACTTTGATGTAGCTAATATTCTCAATAGCAATTCTTTTCAGATTCATTATCTTCTGCTTAACTCTTTTATACTTATTCAAGCTTTATATATATCAATAGATTCACATCTTGCTAATCACAGATGAGGAGGTTAAAAAATCAGTATAATAATATTTGAGAATGAGATTCATATTATTTTGAATCTGCTCTGCAGTCAGCAGATAATTATTTCTGTTCATATGAGCTATTCACTTTTTTAACATGTTCTTTTAACTCTTGTTAAGCTTCTTGTTCAGTGCAGTCTTTGCATTATGTATTTTTCTTTCATTGATTTTTGCTCAAAGATATTAATAAGAAATGTTGAATTTGCATATCAGAGATAGAATTTTTTGTTTTTGATTATTATTATTAACTTTAATGACATTCTGAATATATTTTTTCAAGATTATCTATCTTATTAATTATAGTGATAGTGATATATTAATATTTTGAAGATTGATTAATAAAGAAGTTGATATTTTTATCATTATGCTGTTTTTATCATTACACTGTGATACACCCACATCAGGTATGGGTACGCGGGGCACAATTAGTCCTTAGCTCAAAATTCACTTTGAATATTCTTTTCACTTAAAGCTGTCATATAAATTAAAGAATAAATGATTAAAAACTTATTCTTATCAATGTGATTGATGTCAAGTCTCATTCTTTTCTTAACTTCTTTCTGTACACTTATTTTAATAAGATAAAACAAGCAATATTCAAAGACTGCAAGAGATAAGAAGAATGAGCTAATATATAAAAAAAAATAATTAAGTTTTAAATATAAAATCAATCAAACTCAAAATTATTATGACTACTATATTCATTCAAGATCAAGAGTCAATATTGATCAATCATATAAAATTGTATATATTTATTGAATATCTTTTTAAGTCAAATCAATCTCAATTTGTTAGTTGTTCATTTATTTTTACTGATTTTAATTCATCAATTATATAGTAGTTCATTCTCATATCAGAAGACTTGATATAGCTTCTTCTTAAAAATGATTATTGATGATAATGCTCACTCAGTTGCATTAACTATTTCAATAATGATGACTCATTCAGTATTTTCAGACTATACAAGTTTTAAATGAAGAATTTTCTCTGATTCATTAATCATCTTAACTGTTTTAATAATTCTCATCTAAAACTCAGTCTCATCAAAGTTGTATATATCCTCTTATATAATTTTATACTTCTGAATAATATTTTATATAAGCTTAAATTATTTTCAAAGAATTTTAAAATCTTTACATAGGGCTTATTGATGATTATATAAGCTTAAATTATTTTTAAATAATCTTAGAATTTTTACATAGAGCTTATTGATGATCATAAGATCAAAAGAATTAAGTTTTTATGTCAGAGTAATAATTAATAAATTGATTAATATATTTTGTATTAATAATTAGTAAAGTGGTAGAGTTGTCTTAGTTTACAAGAAGAAGATTGATTATTTCTTGTATGATGCTTATCTGAGAGAGCTGATCTCATTTATTTATAAATATTATTCATTAAAGAAGAATTGATTTCTCTGTAAAACTAAGTTTTTAAATTTTAAGCTGAGAATATTTTGATATTGTATAGCTGTGTAGTTGTTCAACTAAGCTGATATGAGAGATCTGATATACACTTGCAGCAGCTCAAATACTTGAAATTTAACATATCTTCAATGTCTGAATCACTAATTAAATTCTTTTTTCTCAATAGAAAGCTTGATTGTCTTTTGTTGTTGACATTTTGACAGTCAAATTAATAGATGTGTCATGTGATAAAGAAGTATATGAACAGATGTCCTGTACAAACAGATGTTTAATTACGTTAAAAAAATCATTTAAACTCATTTCTAGATATTTTCACTGTAAAATAAAATAAAAAAAATGTGAATAGTATTCAAAAGAACTGGAAAAAATGATAAAGAGAAATTAAAGTTGATAAATTTACATCAGTATTGATACACAGCTTATCTTAAAGAAGTAACTCTCACATCTGTTATTTTTAAACTATAAGTACTTAGAAATTATTTGACAACTACTTAGTAAATAATTGATAAATATTTCAAATAACTCAATAATACTCTTATTATATACTTTGATAAATTATATTAATTATTAAATTAAAAATTATTTATATATTTATATAATTAACTAAAAATGAATTAAGAAATAATTAATAAGTAGTTAATAAATAGTTAATAAATAACTAGTATAAGTATTATAAAATAAATAATTTTAAATATATATTAAAAAAATTAATATTTTTTACAACTTCTTATATTATAAAAAAGCTATTTATTTAAAATTATAAATTCTTATATTAATTTATAAACTAATATTAATAAATGATTAATAAGTAGTTAATAAATAATAATACATAACTAGCATAAATACTCAGCAAATAATATTAAATAGTAGTTATATATTTCAATTATAGTGAAAATGATAATGACTTAAGTTTGAATATTAAAAAAATAATATTGAGTAGTTATTATTTATTTGTTAACTATTTAATAAAAAATTAAATATTAGTTATTATGCATCTATAAAGTACTTGTAGTATTTACAACTTTTGAAATTTTATTAATTTTATCATCAATTTTAATAATATATTCTTTATCATTATTATTATTCAAAAAATTATTCAAATCGTCATCAAATATATAATAGTTGAGAGTTGCAGATATGTTGTGAAGTATTTGAAAAATATTTAAATACTTTAGAAATGATTAAAGTCTTTGGTTATAAAGAGAGATTATTATGATAATGTTTTTACTATCTGGCCTTTCTTATACATGCACAGTCCTTAACTTAGTATATAGTCATATTGAAAGGTCAGTTAAATCTTTTAGTGAGGTTGATTGATCTATATACTTCAAATCAATAATTAAAATTACCTATTCTCTCAGGTTATAAGACTTATTTTGCGTCTAAACCCGATTAATTCAGGATTTATTTTATTAAAATTACTGATTACTTGCTTTATTTCATCTCTATATTATTTTATTTGAAATAAAAAACTTACATTTTCTATTTGATGAAGTCTTTGACGTGTTTTTAAATCAGTTAAGGATATATAAAGAAAATATAATAATATTATAAAATATTCTAACTTATGACTCTGAGAAGACATATATTTTAATAAGATTATTTTTCAGAATAAAGAAGTTCTTTTAAAAATATTATTATATTTATATTTTTAATATTTTGATAATTTAATTTAATAATAAAAATGACTAATTTAGTGAAATTACTCTCTATTATATATTTACAACTTTGAATATAAATAAATTCAATTAAATCAGTTATCAAATTAATTTTTTACTTTTTATGAGTTTTTTTTTTTTTAAATTTTTTAAAAACTTAATTATTCAATATATTTCTAAGATTTTAAATTTTAATCTTTAGTGTTATGATTATGAAATCTTGTTAAAAACATCTTCTTGACATATTACTATTTTTTATATCATAAAAATTATTTCTCTACAGTATAGAAATATATTAAAATTTACTATCAATCTTAAAATTTTAAACTATATCATAAAATTGTAAAAAATTTGACAATAATATTATTATAGCTATTTACAGCTCAAACTATCTTAAGTTCTTCTAACTAAAGTTTTAGTTTTAAAGCTTTATAATTTTTTCTATTATTCATTAATTTAAACTTCATTTTGCTAAGAGAATGATAACTATAATTATTATTATTAAACTTTAACTTAATCAAAATATTAAGAGATAAACATAATTAAAGATTATTTAATAATTACTGAAATTATAAAGAGATTAAAATTTAAAATCTTAAAAGTATATTGAATAGTTAAGTTTTTAAAGAATTTAAAAAATAACTCATAAAAAATAAATAATTAATTTGATAACTGATTTAATTGAATTTATTCATATTTAAAATTGTAAATATATAATAGAGAGTAATTTCACTAAATTAATCATTTTTATTACTAAATTAAATTATCAAGATATTAAAAATATAGATATAAAACATTTTTAAAAGAATTTTTAAATTTAAAAATATTAAAAATAATCAACTGTCTGTCTTATAACATCATCTGCAATCACTGCTTCTCTTCTCAATACTCTACTCACTATCACTGAAAATATTGACACTTTTATGAATAGAAAAAGATATTATAATAGACTGTGTCTCAACTTTTTCTGTTTCTCAGATTGTATTTTTATATATTTCTTTTTCTCTCTGCTGTCTTCACATAATTTTTTTCATCTCTACAGCTTTTGTTTAATTTACTCTTGTATAGACTCTCTTTATAACTCAGATTTTATCTTCATATGATATTTTTTTCCTTTTTCAATGATTCTTTTTTGTTCATTCATATGTATTAGTTATCAACTGTTTTTAGTAATTAGTTATACTTATCATAATTACTGACTATGTATAAGAACTAAATAATGATAATGATAATAAATTATCTAGAAATAAGATTTTAATATTTTAAGCTTTATCATTATATAATATCTATTATTAAGATAATAGTAATATATTTATTATTTATTTTATTTTTCAATAATTATATAGTTAATTTATTAACTAATTAAGATAATTAATTATTTAGATAATACTTAATATAAAAAGCTTAAAATCTATAGATTTAAATTTTGCAAAAATCCGAAAAAATTAATGTTAAAAATTAAGCATAAAATTTATATCAAATAATATTTAATTAGTATTTTTAAAATAATGGCCCCTGATATTTAAATGTTTTGTTATCAGATTTAAACTCACAGCTCTTAATTACTGACCTCAAATGTCATCTAGTGACTGTTCCAACCATTCAGCCACAGGAGAAATCAGCATCTGATTGTTGTCATCAATTTTTATTCTGGATATGAAAGATTTGAGCTGAGCTAGCAAGGTGTGGTGGTAGAACTTGGTCACAACGTGGGGATCATGCATAGTTTAGATTTCGGCTAGCTAGTTCAAAACTCAACATGAACATTATCCTTCATGAATTTTGAGATCCTTGCTCAAACTATCCAAATCCTAACCAATCCTATCCCAATCTTACCCCAATCCTAATCTAAACCTAATCCTTATCTACCCCGTGTTGAGGGTGGTAAGGTTAAAAAGTGAGGCCCAACTTATAAACCACGTTCAACCTTTTTGAAACCCAGATCAACTCTAATAACCCCATAAACCAGATTTCAGGATCAAATACCCGGATTGCCTTAATCAGAAAATTCGGGGGGGGAGGAGAGGGGAAGGAATAATCTGAATCCTGCACATTCCAGGAACAACGGTGCAACTACAGTGGTTTTGAATGTTACCCAGGATGAACCAGAGTGTAGTTCCTGAACCAAATTTTCTTCCTCAACCCAAACATCCGCAGCCCTCCTGTCAAAAACACTCTTAGGCTTCTAGAGAGTTAGCTTTTCGCGAGATTTTCAAGTGGAGGCAACTGGGACAGAAAAATGGGTTAGAAAACCATTCCACATTCATTAATTGTGGTCAGCAGCTTTTGCAAATAAAGTTCCTGAACATGTTGACAGGCTCTCCATTGTCCCGGTGGTCCCTCAGCTCCCCCTATCATTGAGGGGAATAAAGGGTTAAATCCAATCTTCAATACCTAAAGATTAAAAGAAGAGAGCCATGTAGTGCTCCCTTGACAGCCGAAGAGTTGGTGAAGGAGGTTTATCCGCCACCAGCTTTTCTTTCAATTGGGAACCCCGTGCAAAGTCTATCTTGAAACCTCCACTTTCCCACAAATTGGAAGCAATATGAACTCAAAAAAAGGGGGCATAGGAACTCATCTTAACGTGGTTTGATGTGCGCATATCGTGTGGAGGTTAACATACTATGGGATCCTCATATGAGGTTTCATGGCGGCAAACATTCACGAGTATCAGTTGAGACTATATATTTGCCCTTCTATTCCCCATCTTAGAATTTATTTTTTTCAATGGATGCCATTCAAGTCAATCAGTTGAAGACATCATCTTGGTTTTCAATTTTTGATTTTCAGTGGATACAAGGAAAGCCCAACTGTGATACCTCTGGAGAAACATGCATTTTTACACGCTCTTTGTGCTGTTCCAGCTACTCTTAGCTGCAAGTGGAATATCTGCAGCTGCTATTGTACCGCGTAAAATACCAGCATCTTCGCTTTCACCAACACTAGCCAGGCAGGAACAGAACCATACATTGTATAGGCTTTGTTTCGACAATACATTTTACGCATTCGCAGAGCAGGCACCAAGTGGGATCTGGATTGTGGGAGTAACTTATAAAGACACAGCTACACTGGTTTATTTTACTGGTGTAGGTGAAATAAAATTTCTCACTCAACCTGAGAGATATATGAATTTTGACAATGACACTATGACTACTGGTATGTGGACTAGAACAATCTGCTCCTTTCTCCCTCATCATCAGTCTCTGCCAGTGGAAATAAGATAATGTTCCATTTCACAGTTCCTGGGTTTTGCCAATAGGTAGTTTATATGAATGTGTTTTTCTGACAAAGACTTCAATGTATGTTCTAGGCATCCGATTTGTTACACTTACAACGACTCCTGGCATAACGGGCCTATTTCGCGATAATCAAACTGGTGAAGTGCACTGGTTGGGTGCATCTCAAAAACAGACAGGATGGATTCGTAAGTGGCCATCACTATTTTAAAGTTTTCCCCCCTCTTCAGCAGAACATACTGACAGCTCCTAAAGTTTGTTACATGTGGGATGAAGAATGGCATCTGTTCTTCGATGATTCTAAATGGCTTTCACCTCCTTCAGATTGTTTCTCAACCATCATGACAGCAGAACCAGTGATTGGGATTCAAGGTTTAGCCAAGCCATAGCTTCCGCTTATTCGCACTGACAAGCCTTGGCGCCAAGAGGATCGTGTTTGATATGTTGTCTAACAATCTGCGAATACGGATTAGTTTTAGTTAGTTAGCCTTCCTTTAATATTTATTAAGATGGAAAACCTTGAGCTACTGGCCATTCTTCTCCAGTTAAACTTAACTACTTTAATAAGTCTGTCATTTATCATACATAGACTTACTTCTAATACAGCTGCTACAGTCTGTCACGGCTTCGATCCAGGCGCAGGTGGAACAGGTGTTCGATTGCCAACCAGGTAAGCTATCTTGACGAAATACTAAGACGGTTCCTAAAAGATCCTTTCCTTAGCGCGGTTGCTAGTCGGTTCCCATGTTTACGGGGTATTTGTTTACGGGGTAATTGTGGGGTTGGTTGCTATGCCGTTGCTAGGCAGTTGCAATTACCCTTTTCGGCCCAGTGGCCTTAACGCTGTCGAGAAAGTCAACCTTCAAAGCAAGCAACAGCTTTATTAAAAGTTTTTATAATATTTTCAACATCAGCAAATTTTCTTTTAGAATCAAACTAAATTTTCTCCTCTAATTGTCTGAAAAGTTTCTGAATTATAGCTGTTGAAAATATTTATTAAATATTTAAATCTTTAATAATTTTAATAATTTTATATAAGAAGTTTTTTGATTAAAGTTCAATATTTTATTAAATTTTAACTATTTTAAAATTATATATATATATGTTAATAATTTTAAAAAATAGTAAGTAAAAAAATCTTTTATTTTATAATTAATAAAATTTATATATAAAAAATTAAAATAATTAAATTTAAATTAATAAAAATTTAATATATTAATAAAATTTAAAATATTAAATTAATTATTTTTTATTTATTTTATATTTTAATTTAATCTAAATTTATAAATATATATTTAAATAAATATAAATAAAATCAATAATTATAATATATAAAAAAAAATTAATAAAAAAACTATATATATTTTATTATTAAATGAAATAAATAGTTTTTTTTAATAGTTTGAATATGTAGAGAGTAATCTTTCATTATAAGAAGTAGCATAAATTGATTTGATCAGTATTTTGAAAGTATATAAATTGAAATATAAAGAGAGAATTACTAGAGTTTTAATACTGATTTTTAAGAAATTTTTAAAAATAAATTTTTTTTAAAAAATAAATTATAGAATTATATATATGATATAAATAATATATAAAAATATATATATTATTTATATAATAAATTTTAAAAATTTAATATTTATATAATATATATTTTAACTATAAATATAGATTTTTTAAGTAATTTTTTTAAATTAATTAATTATTAATTTATTCAATATTTATTTATCTTTAATATTAATATAAGTTTAATTTAATATTTTTTTAATTTTAAATTAAATAAATTAAAAATATTTATTTTAAAAAATTATTAAAAATTTAATAAATTAATAAATAATATTAATAGATTTTATAATTAAAATTTAAATTTAAATTTTTAAAATTTTATATAAATTAATTTTTTTCTAATTTAATTAGTATTTTAGTATTTAAATAAATTTTTTGAATTATTTTCTATTTATTTATACTTTATATATTTTTATTTAAATATTATATTAACTTTATATTTTATTGAAAAATTATAAAATTATTAAATTATTTTTAATTAAAATTTTTTAAATTTTTATTATCTCTTTTTTTATTAATATAAAAAGAAATATTAAAATTACATTTTAAAAATATAATAATTTAATTTTTTTTAATGATAGTACTTTTATTAATCTTTAAAATTTAATAGATTATTTCTTATAAATATAATTAAAAAATAAATTTTAATATTTTTATCTAAAATTTATATAATTAAATATTTTTTTATTCAAAATTTTATTTTTATATCTATTAATAAATTATATTGTAGTTGATTTTACTAGTTAATTAATTATATAAAATAATTTATAAAACTTTATAAGTTTCAACTGTAGTTTTAATTAAAAAAAAAAAATTATATTTAATTCTTCAATAACTTGTTAAATAGGTATTTCACATTAAAAGTTTATTTTAAGAAAATAATAAAGATAAAACATGTTAAATTAAAAAATGAAGAATTTACACAAATAGCAATTAAGAGAGAATGATGATTATCTCAGATTTGATTTTATGAGATTGACCTTTCACACAATTAGTTTAATACTATATAGAATTTAAACAACAGTTTATCCAATATATACTTGAGTAACTAGCTTGAAATTGTTAGGAGAAGATTTTTACAGATTGTGCAACTGATGCATCAATGCTTGAACAATACATGACATTTAAATGATGATGTGAGTCTTGTATAAGAATGAGTTAATAGCTTATTTGACAGAGACCTCATATATAAATCATGACAATCTTTCATTTAAACTATATGCTCTTAATAGCAGTGAATTTTTCATTATACTCAGATTTTTATTCTTAACTAACTCTAAATCTAATCCTAGCATAACATTAACCTTGGGGTTGTTTTTTGATAGATGTGTACTGTTTTATTTTAAATGAGATGGACAAGTTGATTAAGATTTTTTTAAAAGTGGGTACATTCAACTGTAACTGCTTCAAGCTGAATTTTAAAACTCATGTTCAATCAATATTCGACTCTAATGCGGGTTTTTGAATGAGACGTTTTTGTGACGAATATGCAGAGTATAAATTTTATAGACCATTTATTTTAGATGAGATGACAGAGTTTGATCAAGATTCTAAAAACGTGGGGCCCCAATTACCTAATAAACTAATATATTCAAACTGTAACTTTTTCCAAGTGAACCTTAAAAACCATGCTCACAAGTTCCACTATGCAGTATCGAATAACTACTCAAGATGAATATCTGAACAAAATCTCAGCCAAAAGCAAAACAATTATTTCAATGTATTTTCGATAAGACATTTTTAAAAATCCCATACCTATATTCCAAACGCCATTCCCAAAGCAAAGCAATATCTAGCAAAAATCAATTTATATCCCGATCTACATTCATAGAGACATAAAAATGAGTATTTAAAACGCCAACCTACGGGTGGATCTCTTCACTCTCTAAAACCTCTAAAACAAACCTCAAAAACTCCTCCGCATTATCTGTCATCGGCAAATGACCTGACCTCTGAAAAACCGCCCAATCCGCCTTTCCTCCTCCACCTCCCTCTCCCTTCGCCTCCATCTCAAGGGCCCTCTCCACCACCACCACCCCTCCTCCCGTCCTCTTCATATCCACATCAACCCCATCCATCCCCCCAACAACAAACATTACCCTCCCCACCGCCCTCCCCTCCGTTCCCGCTTCCCCTGCCACCCTCGCCAACAGCGGCCGCGAATCAAACGACCTATCCCTCAACGCCTGATAACACGCTATAAACCCTTCCCGCGTCGTCGTGCGCATCAGTGCGCGCATCCACTGCATCTCTGCACCGTTCTCCCGGTGCGGGCCAGCAGGCGGCGAGCCATTGCTCCAACGTCTGCTCGGTCACGATGCTGATGTCGTTGGAGTTTTTGCGTGCGAGTTCGAGGCGGACGGCGAAGGGGTCGTCGAGGCCTGGGAGGACGGGGGCCCAGAGCGGCATTGAGATGAGGATTAGTTGAGCTTTTGGGGGGGATGGGTGGGTTGCTAAGAGAGAGAGGAGGGTTGCGGCGCCGAGGGAGACGCCGAGGACGAAGTCGATTTTTGGTATGTGCAGGGCCGTGAGGAGGTGGTGGAGGTCGTTTGCTAGGGATTGGAGGGTTGTTGAGTCTGATCCTTCGAGGGTTGGGCCGGGTTGGGAGGAGCCATGGCCTGTTGTGTCGAAGCGGAGGGTGCGGTAGCCATGCGGGTGGAAAGTGGGGAGGAGTGAGGGGGTTGGAGAGGAGTAGGAGCGGTGTATTGGGGTTTGTGGGCCCGGAGAGGTGGTAGGCTAGGTTCCGACCGGATGGGAGTGGTTGGAGGGATATCTGGGTCTCCGGGTTCCAGTCCGAGTCCGCCGCGGTACGTGAGTGGTGGGTGTTTGTGTATGGATTAGGTATGCCATTGTTGGTTTGGAAGCATCTCTAACGGGAAGCTTGTATGTCTGATTGCATCGTTGCCTTCTTGATTGTCAGATGGGTTTGCCAAATTGAAGTCTATACCTCCCTACACTTCAATTGGGCGATATTGACATCACGAACATGGAATTTTAGTGAAGAACGGTTTCCGTCGCTGAAGTTTGTTGCCGGTTTTGCTTGAACATTGTGGCTTTCGTAGTTATTGTTCGTAGTGGTGACATCATGTTCGGCTATTTCCATAGCTGCTCGGCCCGAACAACGAAATAACAACATGTAGAATATTGTTGAGGAATATTTTTCCTTTGAACCTCCTAGGCATAGTTACCTTGTATCATCAGGCTCCAGATGCTGATAGTGCTCAGTGAAATCTATATATGTAAACACAAGCACCAACTTGATTTGACGCAAAGCGCTCGACTTCTGGTTTGGGGAAGGAAACCAAGTGTAGGCAGAAGGTTGGAATTGAAGGAGATTGGATTCCCTCTCTCCAAACCAACGTGACTGCACTAAATAAACACGCTGCACTCAGCAGAAATTCAAATATCTTCTCACCCTCAGATTAGAAATTAATTAAATTAAAAGCCATTAATACAGGTTTTCTCAAGATATAATAAAATAGACGTGTGGATGGCCTGATTTGGCGACCATGGTGAGAGATTCAGCACGGAGGCGGATCAATTTGTGATGGCGTAGAATGAGCTCCGTAGCCTTCTCAACAGCATAATGCCGAGGCGAACGGTAATTGCAACTGCCGAGGCGATTGGTAATCACAACTGCCTAGGCATTGGCATAGCAACCAACCCCCACAATTACCCCGCATACGAATAACACATAAACGTGGGAACCGGCGCTAAGGAAAAGGGCTATATAAACAGAGCCTTCCCCGAACCCATCTCTTAGGAATCATCTTAGTATTTGCTCAGATAGCTTACCTAGTTGGCAATCGAACACCAGTCCACCTGCATTTAGATTGAAGCTGTGACATAATACTAAGATCAATAACTTTCTTACTCTTTTTAAAGCAGGTTTTTTAGATAAAAAACCTCTGAGAATCTTTGTTAATTTTTATTTTGAACCTCTAAGAATATCACTAAGATGTCAGAAGCAGTTAGAGAGTCTGACTGTTTATGAAAATCAGACTGAGATATGATGACCTTGACTGATAGAAATATGAGATCAAGAAATGTCATATTAAAGAAACAATTTCTTGTATCAATTGAAGAGAATTCAGATTAGATATATCAAAAGATTATTGATCTCATGAATGAGACAAGAGACATTTTAGAAAGAATTAAAGTAGAATAAGATGAGCAGAGAAAGCAAATGAGTGAACTTGATCAGCAAGTGAACAGTTTAATAGAGAAATAAAATATCTTACAGCAGACTGTGAACTCTTTAGTCTTTCAAATTAAACTGATGAATATTTAACAGACACAACAATCAGTCAAACTCAATGACTTTAAGCATTTCATCAATGAAAAAGAATCAATATTTGAAAACTGATTCTTCTGAATGAAATGCAAGCTAGTTGTCAATGTGAATCACTTTTTCAACTGAGAAAAGCTGTATTGTCTATATTGAAAACTGAACTGAGAGAGTGTTAGGCTCAGCGCCCGACCGAGCCCGACCGAGGCCCGGTGCCCGGTTAGACTCGACGTCGGATTAAGCTCGGCGCCCGATTAGGCCTAATCCTCGTCACGTGACCAAGTGATCATGCAGGTTGTTATAATTCAAACACATCTCAGCACCCCTTTTCATCTCATCAAGCTTAGTATTTCATTATATAGCAGTTAGCAATGCAGAGAGTTTCCTTCTTATGCAGCTCACATTCACTCCCTAACATAATACTAAGCTTTCTCCTACTCTTTCTACTCAGAATTGAGTAGAATCTGCTCAGCAAGAATCTAAAAGTACAATAAACAATAGTAACTTATTTCACATCTTTTTTAAAATCAGAATGATTACTTCAGACTTTCAACTCTCTGAAAAGATCAAGAAGAACTGATGATATGTTCTAACTAGACCAACTGATCAATTACAGATCTCATTTGAAGAATTTAGATAGACAATTTAATCAGACAAGAATTATATTTACAACAAGTTAGCAGCAATTTTTAACAGTATTTTTGATGATGAGAAGATATTGAGAAACACAGTCACATATTTGCAGATGAAATGAAATGATGCTGCAACTTAGACAGCTATCAAGTAAGATCAAATTAATGAGCTTATTGCAGAATGTAATGAGCTTAGTTACATTTTTATTTAAATGACAGTCAGCAATCAAACAACAAGTCAAGACATCATCTTCTCAGAGAGCACAAGAAGATCTGTCAAGATTGATGACTCAAAACATTTCACTGATGATAAGAAGTTAAAGTTTGAGCATTAACTCTTCTGCATGAAAAACAAGCTTTAAAAGAATACTAACTATTACTTTATAAAATATATGAAAATTATATATATTGAGAATTAAATGAATAAGAACACAGTATATTATATTGCATTTCATATAAAAGAAAATTACTCTGAGTGATATTAGACTATAAAAGAGATATTTGAGCATCTTAAGTTAATATATAAGAATGCTAACAAGCTGCAAAATATCAAAAGTGAGTATTACAAACTGATTATATGCAATAAGAATAATTATTATAAATTTATCACAAAATTTTTATATCTGATAAGTGAGATTAAGATTATTAAAAGAGATTTTAAAATAAACTTTAATGATAAGTTATTGTTTAATTTTCAGAGAATAATAGTAGTAGTTAATGCAATTATCAATATATATACTGAGTTTCAGAAAATATATGCTCAGACAACTCACACTCTTCAGATAATCAATATCACTCAGAAGTTAAAAAACTTGTAGAAAAATAAAATTAATACTCTTAAATAAAATATATTATAGATTTTTAATAGTTAAATTCTCTTTAACATCTTTGCTATAAAATCCTCTATTATGAAGAAAGTCATAAGCACTTATTCAAATGTTCAGTGCTACTACTGCAAGAAAAAAGATCATATTACAAGAAACTGCTCTGTGAAACAGAAGTTTCAACAGATATTCACTAAGCTCACAGAGAATAATACTTCTGAGTTTTTAATAAATTTGAGAAAAGAATAAATTTAAGAGAAGACTTTATTTCAAGTAGTTTAATAATTTGTGAGAGATTTGATATGAAGAATTTAATTAAGAGAAAAAGCTTTAATATATTAATTAAGTTAGTCTATAATAAAATTACTACTTCTATAAATTCTATTATTGATACTAAAATAAATAATGTGAATTTTATTGACACTCAATATATTATAGAATTAATAAGATTTTTCAATAGAAAGTTTTAAGAACTTCTGTTTAAATGCTACATGAAGAAATATAATAATGCTTCTGATGAAATGATAGACTGCACATTGACTCTAAATCTCTGAGTAAATGATCAAAAATTTTAAAATATTTTTATACTGATAATAAATTTAGATCAGCACTCTGTTATTCTGAGATAAAAGTAATTAATAATACAAAATATATGATTTAATATTAAAAATCAATATCTGATTTGATTGAGTGAATAGTTTACCTCTGAGCAGATGATGAAGCTGATGTTGAAGATAGTATTTTGATCAATACTAAAGTACTCAGACTTTAACTTTAAATATCAAACAGATGTAAAATAAAGAAAGATTAAACTAAATAAGAAGATTGGACAGAAGTATCAGACTTAGCTCTGTAGATTGAAAGAAATCAGCTCAGTTATGATATTTAAAATAAGACAGAGATTGACTTGAGAGAAAACAGTATCACTGATAATGAATATAAAATTTATTGATACTATTTTCTTTTATAATTATATGAAAAATAAGAACTTAACAGTCTTCATAATCAATGTATATGAAATTAATAAACAGCTTGAAAAGAAGCAGAATTTAGTGAAAGCTGAGAACAAGTTTACTGAGAAGTGAATTAGCAACTTATCAGAATGATTAAAAGATCAAAAGAACTATTTCTCAAAAAAGTATTATATAAATTATTCTCTTTATATAAGAGTATTGATTTTAAAATAGAACTTCAGTCTAACACTAATCTCATTCAGAACATTAAACATATCTCTTTATATAAGATAAATCTGAAGAAATTAAAAGTAATAAAGATTTATTTTAAAGTTAAATCTAGTAAAAAATTTTATTATAACAAGTTCAGTTCTCTATATCTTCTCAATTCTGATTATCTGCAGTGAGAAGAAGCTATAATTTTATATTAATTTTTGTAAGCTGAATGCTATAATCAAATAACATCAATATCTTTTACCTCTAATAGATGAGCTGATGAACTGACTCAACAAAGTAAAATACTTTACAAAGCTGAACATTCAGTAAGAGTTTTATTATATTTAAATAAACTCTGAGTCTGAGAATCTGACTATCTTTAAAACTTACTATAAGATCTATAAATATTATATAATTCTTTTTGATCTTACAAATATTTTTGCCTACTTTTAATAATTTGTTAATAGTATCTTCTTTAACTATCTGAATAAGTTTATGATAGTATTTATGAATAATCTTTTAATTTATAGCAGAACTTTTGAAGAATATAAGCAGCAAGTGAATCTAATACTGAACTGATTAAAGACAATAGACTTATAAGCTAGTATTTAAAAATATGAATTTACTATTCAGAGAATAATATATCTGAGATTTATCATTATTACAGAGAGAATTGAGATAGATTCTGAGAAGACTACTATCATCACAAAGTGATAGATTTTAATCACAGTTAAAAATATTCAATCATTTTTAGAATTTAATAATTTCTATTAGTGATTTATAAAAAACTATAGTTGAATTGTAAAATCACTATATCAGTTGATAAAGAAGATAGTTTTATTCATATAAATATCAGAATATTAGTCAGTTTTAAAAAACTAAAAAAGCAGCTGATGAAGACTTCAACTATGTATTACTATGACTCTGAATATGAAATCTGCATTGAGACTAATATCTCAAATAAAGTAATAACTAAGATAATTAGTCAAAGATTGAATAATAATCTTTGATATTCTGTGATCTTCTACTTCAAGTTAATAAATGATTCAGAGCTTACCTATAAGATTCATGATAAGAAAATACTTGTAGTCATCTGAGCATTGCAGAAGTAATAAGCTGAGCTTGAGAAACTATAACAGAAAGAATGATTTAAAATTCTTACTGATCATCATACACTGAAATACTTCATA